CTCTCTCTCTCTCTCTCTCTCTCTCTCTCTCTCTCTCTCTCTCTCTCTCTCTCTCTATCTCTCTCTCTCTCTCTCTCTCTCGCTAGCCTGCACGCACATACGACTAAATAGAGAGCAACTGATAACTGACTTTAACAATAACTCTTTGCCAATTCCCAAAGAATTTAGAAATGAATCTGTACCAGAAAACTACCAAAGAATCACCAGTCAATCCTAATACATCTAAAACTAAAAGCATGGGCATTTTATTCAGTATTGCAGTCCTCCTCTTCCATTTACTTGGTAGCTCGTAAATGGACTAGACATGATAAAGCTCAATATGAGAGAGAGAGAGAGAGATTTGACAAAACTATAACGAAGAATAGAGGGGGACACCAGGTAATGTGGCACCACAATCAACAATGAATACATTTCCTGTGACGAATCCTGAAGAATCATCGATCAAGTGGTCGAGAAGTGATGTAAGAGCTGGGTCAATTGTACCATGTGTTCTAAGCGGGATAATCCTCTCTGCCACTTTGTCAATCCAATCTTTCTGAACCAGCCTCGCTGTAATGTCAGATTTAAACAATCCTGGAGCTATTGAATTCACCCTTATGTTGTACTTTCCTAGTTCCAATGCCATAACCTGTTCAAAATGGCTGATGGTCTTAGCATCATATTGTCATATACATAGATATTGATAAATAGAGAAACCTACAAAGACTAATTGTTTAAAGGAAAATTGTTTCATGTGGCAAAGACCGCATTTCTAGCATCCTATCTTAAAGATAGATGCAAATAGGTGGTCCGTCTAAAAATAATTGAAACTAACGGTCCAAATGTTTTCTTAATAGAATTATTATTTTTAATTTTTCAAATTTATTTATTTTTCCATATTCATGATCTCCATGTTAGAGATTACATGTCCTTAAAAATTAAGTCCAAAAATCCATCTCAAAACTAGATTTTTAAGAAACTGTGTCCTTGTAATAGTTCAAAAAATTCAGGAAGTCAATAATTATGAGGCATCAAATGACCTTGCCATCTCAACAAGCAGGTTTTGGGTTCAATTCTCATGCTCATATATGTCGTAGAAAATATTTTTTCTAATTTATGCTCAAATTTAGGTTCCTATTACTGGAAGTTGCAACTATAAAAGAGGTTCACATGATGGAAGAGAATATTGGGCTGGGTAGCCAGCAAGTGAGACGTACAAGACATTAAGAATAAGTATTGACGTGGGAAAGGTTTTTGCTGTTTTTAACAAGTATCTTTTGATCTCATCAAAAGCTTTTCAGCATTTTCAAGTTCATTCAGACATAGAGAGTCATTTTGAAACATATCAGGCTCACATATTGTGAAAATGACCCCAAAATTACATTCTCCTACTACCTGAGGGCTCCTGGCTTACAGTTTTTGGCAAGGTTCAACTACTAGGCTTGAGCTCAGGACTCAAGCCCTGCCCGAGCTGGGTAACTTGGGCATGACCACTCTGACTTGCCCAAGTAGTGTCTTAGCCCAAAAAATAGGCTAAAGAAATAAAACACAAACAAAAATATGTACAGCATTAAAAGTCCAAAGAAGATGGGAAAAAAAACATAAAAGATGGAATTTGAAAGATTTTCATTCATAGCTGGAAACAATCCAAAAAAATCCAAAGGGGGAAAATAGAAAAATATAGTATATGATAAGAAAAACTCATAAATGATCATTAAAAAAAAATCAAATTTATATATAGGACACTTATACATTGATTTATTAAAAAAAAAATTTATGATTTTTTTTTATTACCGAGTTTGTGCCTAGGAACCCGGCTCGGCAAGCTGCTGAGCCCAAGTAACTCAGTCAAGACTGGGTCAACTCAGTTGAGTTTTAAAACCTTGGTTTATGGTAGAGGCATAATCTAGTAGAGACTCAATTTCACTAAAATAAATTTTCCTTTCCTTGTGTGGATAGTTCAGCTGAGGATTGAAATTGGGATGTAGCGCTGAAATCAACAACTAACCAATCAAGCCCAAGCTCGATTCCAAGTAAGATTTCCAATCCTCCTTTACTGACTAGAAAGAATGATGTAAGTTCAAAAAGGAGTACTTCCGGATTCAAATATGCCCTCCGTTTATCACAGACATTGTTGAGTCATCTACATGTACACCATCAAATATTATGTGCAGCATTACAATGAAGATTGTTGTCATCAAAAGTCATTGCTCCTTGGACTTAAGGACAATATATTAATTCATAAAACTTTCCCAGCTGATGTTGGAGTTTTGATTATGGCACACAGCTAAACCTGATTGCATGCAGAGAAACTATCCATGGATAGGATTCACAGACATGTCTATGTTGGGTAGTGGCAATTATCCTGGGGGCAGGCTTTGCCAAGGTTTCTAAAGTTTGAGCGAGCTCTACTTAACCATCTTTCATTAGGGATAAGAACATCTAATAATTTAGTAGAATATATTAAATGACTTCAAAGGATGAAATTTTATTAGTTTTTAGTTTCATGGGCTTCAACTCTTTCTCTAGCTCTAAGTGATGCTCTTCAATTATGAGACAAGTTCTGGCACCCTACTAAAACCAAGTAAAGGTATCTTGGTATATGCTTAAAAAGAAGTGTTGTCTCAGACCTTTCTAGTAGAAGGGACCTTCTAAATTCTAATGACTTTACATTCAAAGATACTAATGAATTTAAATGCACAAAGTCATAATTAACTTTTTATTACTTGAGTCCTGTTGAGGAGACCCACTCAAGATTAGAACTAAAATGTCGACAGAATGCATCGTGTTCCTTTTCTTTAACCTTCTTGTTCATTATTATTTATTCACTATATCAATACGAACCAAATTCATCATCAAGCTTTTGTTACTTTCATAGCCATAATGGTCATGCCGTAATGGACCACTATTTCTCCCTCTTATCATAATCTTTAAATCAAAAGGCTACTCAATTCAAACATGAACATATCCATTACATATTTAAAATGTTCCACTTATTTCCTCATTATGTTTATTGAACATTGTAAGCCATTTCTAGATGTTCAACATAGTTAAAATGTATTCCAATCAAATTCAAATATGTGAGTTAAAGATTACATGTTAGTTAATTTTTGCCATCTAATTACTGTTGTGAAACACAAGGCAGGCTGCCAACTGCTATACAACAGAAGGATGTTTTGACATCATTTAGCTTTTTTCACCAAACTCCTTGCTACAAGTGACCTTTCTTTGTTCCATCAATGATGCATTCCACTCATTGAGTCTAAGTACCAATTGACAGAACAACTATTTTTTTACTCAAAAGCAACCATTATTACATTTGCAACGGCACAAGAAGTTCAATAATAGTATCTAAAGCCACAGAAAATGCTAAAATGCGTCCAAGGATATGACACCATCAAACCACCTATAGTAAAGTTACCCCCGTCACAGCACACATTGAAAAGAAAAAAAAATACCTTGGTCATAACATCCACTCCTGCCTTTGATATGGCATAGGCAATCCCACCAGGTAACAATCCACGAGGAAGGCCACCAATTGATGAAATATTGATTACTGAACCCTTCTGATTGGCATCACACATTCGTCTGCATACTGATCTGGCCACCAGCCAAGTACCTCTTAAATTAGTTGCCATGACACTATTCCACTCCTCCTCATCCAAATCTAAAGGGGAAGCCACATGACCTGAGATCCACATAATATGTTACAGAGTAAAATACATTGTGGGGTATTCGACATAAAAGAGAGGAATAAGACTTGACATTGTAGCCTTCAGCTCTCACAAACGTGTTGATATAATGCAATGAAAATGTAGCTACAAAGGTTTGTTATTCGGGAGTGGTTGTGGTATAATATGCCACCAGTTCCATAAAGTTTGACACTCTGAGATTATTGTAGTCCCTTAGTCAGGAAAGCATACTACAATCCAATGGACTAAAGAAAACCATAGCCCACTGGGCCAATCACAATCCAATGATATGATGGATATTGATTGAGGGTGTGTGGGCTCCATCAATGGGGTTGTGTCTTGTTCTGGTGGGTCCCCTTATCCATCCATCATTTCATTAGGCTATAATATTACTTTCCTACATCATTTTCAATTAATGAAACTATTGCTATTGATAAAGAATAATAACATCTGCACATCCAGATTCTTTTAAGAAATCCACAACCTTCACGCATTTCACCCTGAATTCTCAACTATTTGGACTAACTCTGAACTCCATGTTGGCATCTCGTTGAGGTTCTTGTACTTTAATCTTATAGACAAAGTTTCATAATAGACCCATGATTTGGATTTGTTTCTGACCTCCAATATTAGATTCAAGGTATAATATAACTATCAACTCGCAATATAAACATCATATAGTACAAGTTCTTCCTGAGCCTATACAAACAAGGAGAAGAACCTCCATCAGAAGCGATTTTTCATTCAAGTGCAGATATTCAATGTCACATGCCTTTGTCCAAAACTTTCAAGTCAAATTAGTGTTGTGTCAGATTCTATTGTTCCTATGATCGCTCTTGTTAAATATCAAAACAGTCTCCTTTCATATTTTTCTCTGGAAACATATAGTTTGAGTCAGGAAACATTACGCGATTAGTTCCAAATAACTAGTCCTCAGACCAGGCTACAATGTAAAAAACTTCTTATTATGGGGAATATGCAAGTGCATCTGGAGTTTTACGTAATCCCCGCATACCAATGAAGTTGAAGGGGAAGTTTATAGGGTAGTTGTGAGATGAGCTTTGCTTTATGTGACACAATGTTGGGCGATCAAGAAACAACATACCCATAGGATGAGTGTAGCTGAGATAAGGATGTTGAGATAGATAAATGACAAGACAAGGAAGGACATAGAATTCGGAATGAATATATTCGAGGGAACTTAGGTATGGCTTCAAAAAGTGATACGAAGAGGGAAATAAAACTTAGGTGGACCAGCCATGTACAGCGTAGACAAGAAAGGACATAGAATTCGGAATGAATATATTCTAGGGAACTTAGGTATGGCTTCAAAAAGCGATACGATGAGGGAAAGAAAACTTACGTGGACCAGCCATGTACAGCGTAGACCTAATACAACACCGGTTAGGAGGTGGGACTTGGTTCAAGTGGAAGGCTCTAAAAGGGCAAGGGGAAAGTCCAAAAGGATATGGATAGAAGTAGTGAGAAGAGATATGAGGACTTATGGTCTTACTAAGGGTATGACTCTTGATAGACCAGAACGGAGGAACAAGATTCGTTAAGCAGAACCCCAAATAGTTGGAACAAGGCTTTAATTATGATGATAATGATGATAGGGTATCTACAAAATACAGTCAAGTCTAGTTCTAAAATTATAGGACTAGGCCAATAAAGATTATTTCCATTTTGTATTCAATTAATTCAAATACGAAAGACAAGTACATATAACAGGAATAGAGAAAATGAACACCAGCAAAGATCTGCTATGGTAGTGAATGAGAGAATCTCCAAGCAAAAGTTCTTGTCTCCCTGCATCCTCTCTGCATCCTCCTTATTGGTCATCTATAAGAATGAGACAAAAAGTGATAATCTATAAGTTCCATTAGATCTGCAATCTGATCCTCCATGGACATGTCTTTTTTTCTTGTCATCACCTAATAATGGTGAAGAAGGCTAGTGAAGGACATTAGTGAATTCCTTTAAATGCCACCAAAAGTGATCTTTAGGAAATCAAACTTCCAAAGAAGAAAATATAACCAGATAAGGAGAAGTTCACAATGAAATCACGCCTATTGCGATGGGTACACAAGAAAATACATTGGAATGCACTCGGTAATACTGACATCGAAATTGAACAAAGTAGAAATTGCCCAACAGGCACAAAACTATAAGATAGGGCACTGTCTATAGAGACGTGGAACGGGAGAAATCTCACACTGGCCAATATTACCCATCTTGCTTGAGGCAAATGACTATAAGACCAACCTTCTCCATTAGGCATGGTTTTGATGCATGTTAGAAAAGAATGGCACAACTAGTCACCTTCATGATGTGGAGACTCGTATGTTCAACTCTTTGGTTTTTTTCTTTTTTCCTGATAATTGAATGCTGAGGTTCAGCACTATCAACAGAAATGTATAGGTACAAAAAGCCCAATGCACAATGACATGGCCATGAATATGATATAGGGAGGTTATGGAGATAAGGTTAACACCATGAATTTTGAATTATTGTGTGATTCAAATAAAAAAATATCAGTATCACAAGATTCTCCCTCTTATCCCCAAAAAATTTGTGTTAAAAAAGAAATGGCGTTTAATTCGTTAGTCCGACTCAGGACTTGCCATGGAATAACCCAGGAACCACAGTCTACATATTTTTAAAAAATTTCTAAAAAAAAATCTCCTTGTCCAACTCAGACCGGGAGGACTCAAGCTACATACCCTGGTAAGTCAAAGCCCATATCCAACTTTTTAAATACCGGGAGGAACCAATTAGAATACAAACAATGGTTTAAAACTTGGCTGAGTCCAATCGGACTTGGCCTGAGTTACTTGGATTCGGCTCCTTGCCAAGCTGGGTACACAGGTGCAACTCAAGCCACTTAATGAAATAAAAAAATAAATTGTAAAAAATATATATAAAAGTGTGGGATCAATGTATACAAATTATACATGTAATTTGGATTTTTTTTACAATGATGTGATGTTTGTTGTCATATGCCCCATTTTTGTATTCTCTTATTTTTTTTATAATTTTTTAAAAATGTCTCCAACCATAAAATCAATCTTTTCTTTTCTAAATCCATGATATATATATAGATATATATATGAAAAAGTCTAAAAAACGCCTATAGGCGATTTTGAATAGTGTTTTGCCCCGTCACGGACATAGCATGCCCGTGGCGGTTTATCAAACGGAACCGCAACGGACGGCGCCTTGTCCATGGCGGTACCGCATGTTTTTTTGATTGCCACAGACATGCTAGGTCCGTGGCAGGGACCGCAACAGACAGTGCCTTGTCCATGGCAGTACTGCATGTTTTTTCAACCGCCACGGACATGCTAGGTCTGTGGCGGTCTTTTAATCCTAGCCGTCCAAAAAAATCGGATGGCGCCGAGCCTATAAGCGAAATCACTATAGCATTTCGC